TCCATAACGAAAAATTTGGTGCTGCTACTTCTAAGAAACTTAAAATTCTCGATCGAAGATTGTACGTTATAAAGCGCTAAAGAATTGATGCGTGCAATACGAATAATATCCAAATTTCGACTAATCAAACCACTTCATGTTATCGCGGATGAACAAAAGCATAGACTCATTATTCCGCAAATATTCAATTGCCCAGGACGATTTTACGAAAATTGACTTTTCGCCAGCTTTTCAGGCCAAACGTCCCAAACAGTGCGTCGCCTAAAAAATGTCCCGGAGATAGTGATTTCGCATCTGGCAACCCTAGATCCAATGCCATGTATTTCTCTTCTGTCACAACGATCGCTCTCGTTCGCTTGCGAGAGATTTTTTCGCGTTGTGGAAAGGCCGAGCCGCAGCGCGCGTTCGCTCGCGCGGAAAGAGAGCACGCAAGGTGCGCGTGTGCGTGTGCATATTTAAAATAAACTCGCGTGTCGGGCGTAAAACCGCATACGCGCCGCGAACGGAACGACGAGAGAGTGACACGCACCGCGTTGGATTAAGTTGCGCTCGTTTTTCACGTCGGCGGCGGTGACGGCGACGGCGACGACGACGACGACAGCGGCGGCGGCGGCGGCGGCGGCGGCGCGCCAACGATATACGCGCACACGCACGTTGCGTACACACGCGGAACGTTCTTTTCTTCCGTGCTTCTTTTGTTTCATCTTACGAACTTCACCGCAGTGCAGCGCAGCACGGAGTGCATCTATCCGCGCGTTGCAGTGGCACTCGGCGCGCCGGCGACGTCGCGACGCTGTTGCGTGCGCGATTCACTCCGTTCTTTGCAAACTCCGAGGTCCGTCCCTCCGTCGCAGACTTGCCGTGGTCCATCTCGATCGACCGCTTGAAATCGCGAACGAAAGATCACCTGCTTGTATCATCGTAATTTGATAACCTCGAGAAATCTTGAAGCGACGCATTTGATCAATTGTGCTCTCTCGATACTTTCCACTTCTTTCGCTTTCAGTTATGTATATATAATCCACTTATGAAATTCTTAATTAAAATTGTTAAAATACTTAAAGTCGCATATATAAAAGTAATGAATACGAATGAAGGGCAGCATGGCTGGCATCAGTTTTGCCGTAAAGAACGCTCTTTGAAGCTCTGGAGCAGCCAGTCGGGGTAACACGAATAGAGATCGTTCCTCACAAAAGATCCAAAGATTTCTGAAGAAATTGATTTGATATTTGCGCTCGTCTCTCTTGCTGGACTGCACGGCATATGCGACGAGCATCAAACGTGTACTTACAGCCCTCACGATTGAAGGTCCGACGGTCGGAGTTTATTCCGCGTATCGGTAACTGCGTCCCGTCGTCAGCCGCGACTTTGCGTTCCCGCTTGTCGTGCGTGTTAACACGAAAGTGATTTGAAAGCGAACAATCTTCGTCGTCGTCGTCATCGTCATCGTTGTTGACAACGGCGAATGAAGAGCGACGACGACGGTATAGCGCGAGAGGTGGAGGACGATGGAGTCGCTGAAACCTTGGGAAAGCAGAACTCTGGAGAGACTGTCTCGACATAGACGCGGACACAGCCGAGCGTCGCGATGGCACTTCGCGTACGTATCAGCGTGTGGGTATGTGTGCGTGCGTGGTGTGTCTCTGGGTGCACCCTGAAGAGAGCCGCGCGCGCGCGCGCGCGCGCTCCCTTTTTGTCTAATAATAAACGCCAAACGAAGCCGCCGGCAAGGTTACTCACTTTCGCACCTCGCCAGCGACGCGTGCGCGCGTCTTTTAAGAAGTCCGCCATTCAACGTCGTTGAGGGGAAAATAATTATCGTCCTGAGACCTCGCCCCAACGCCGTTATTTAACTTTCCGCAGTCTTATTGATACGCGCGAGAAGTTTCTAAAATTCCCGGGAAGATCTTTCTCTCGAGAATAGCCGAGTCAATACCTCGACATCGCGGCTTCGTTCTAGAGATGATGTAGAAATTCTTCATTTTAATATAAAATTGCAAATTTACGTTCTAAATTTATACTCTCAAGCTTTTGTCATATACTCGTATTACACGGCATACTGTTTGGAGTAAATTTTGACAATTTTCTTTGCACTTTATATTTTTACTATATTTCATTGTTCTATGTGGTAAATATGAGTGCCATGTACGTACGAATTACGAATATAGAAAAAAATACAATCTTACAAACAGACGAATAAAATTGCTGTTCACAATCACGTGCGTCAATCTCTGGCTATGTTTTAAATCAACGTGGAACTCTTTCACAGCAGTCTGAGGGATTCGTTAACTGATAGTGAAAAAAAGAGAGAACAAAACGAGAGAACGCAGAGGTAACGGGCGAAATTAGGGCGGAAAGGAGGTGAACAATTGCGGGACATTGTGCGACGAAGTTATCAGCGCCAGCCGACGATTCGTCATTGTCGTCGTCGGCGAAATTCACAGTCGGCGCAATCGCGCAGCCGTATTTCGCGATGTAATCGAGGTTGCGTCACAGCGGAAAGCGCGTTCGCTCGCTCGCGCAATGCAACTCGAGTGCAACGGCCGGTGCGTATCAATCGAGCTTTTCACCCGTTCGGCGGGACAGCGTCCATCCCGACGGCGGAAGTGACGATGTGGTACGATAATCCATTAATATCGCGCGCGATGGACGTCGCGGGGCAACGGAGGTGGGTAATTAATGCGTGACGTTTAATTCGCGCGCGGCGCTCGTCCGTCCCCAAACCGGCGGCGGCGGCTGCGGCATTGTCTCGCGATGAGAGATGGAAACGTGTGCGTTGGCTTTTGCCTCTCGAAAGGGTCAGCCTTAACGACGCGTTCGCGCGAGTGAACTGATAATGCCAACTGATTGGCCAAGAGACGACATCCGCGGTGTCTCCCTGATAAGTAAGCGAGGGAACAATTTAGTGGACGGTGCATTATCACCAAAGGGATTTGAAAGGTGGGCAATTTTTTTCAAAGAATTATGATACCGCATCGCCCGAACAAAAGAAGATCACCCGAGCGATCTCCCTACAGAAACAAATGTCATTCCTTAGGTTAGTGTATATTTATCGGGGGAATTCGTGATTTTGATATTATAATTTCTCGTGAAATTATCCCAGCTTTCAAATTTCGAGATTTTGATTGTTCGGGAGAATACACGCGTACTGCAATACGTCCGCTCGAAATATTATCATCTCGGCATTCGAATTTCATTATTATGACTTCGGACCGGGAAATTATCCTGCTCTCCGAATTTCGAGATTTCGATTGTTCAGAACAATGCGTGTCTATACCGGGAATTAATTCGTCGGAAAATAGCGTATCGCGCTCGCAGGTGGTAATTGACGCGGCTCTCGGAAATAGCTCGGTCAATCTCAGCGGACTTTATTAACCGTGAGAAATGGAAGGGCAGGCGAGTGTGCAAGGGGGAAGGGAGATCGAGAGGATCTGTAATTCGAATTCCGGAGACTCGTTTACTATCTTTGACATTCGCTAAATTACGTATAGGTCCGAATTTATTACGTATTAATTAAGGTTTCTTTATATGCTTTCCGGCAGTTATCCGCCGTAGATGTGCAGGCGCGAGATCGTTAATTTATGATTCTTGCAATTTACGCGAATGTGCGTGATATTCGAGCCGCGACGCTCGCGATTATTACGTCGGCGCGTCTATCTACCCATTTATCCACCTCTCTCTTCGTCGTTCTCTCGTTTAACGATTTTCCGGCCATCTCTCCGGATGGCAGCAGACGGCTGTAACTGGTGAATCTTTAATTTTGTCCCGTCGACCTGGCCCACCCGCACAAGCACACAGCATCGTCAACGGCGGCGACGGATCCTCCGCGATTCTCAGCCCACGTTCGTTGACGCGAATCGGCGCGTCGCGGCGCGACCGATAATCAAGAGTGACGGGCTCGGCTCGGGGCTCGGGTTCTTCCAACCGGTTAGACAATTATTTGAGCATCATAATGGACGAGGAGCGACGAGGCGCCCGCGCCGTACGGATGATGTGACAAGCGCGCGTAGCCGTCCCTTCTAATTAAATGAATCTCGACGGTATCGTTAAAATGAGAGGAGAGAGAGAGAGAGAGAGAGAGAGAGAGAGAGAGAGAGAGAGAGAGAGAGAGAGAGAGAGAGAGAGAGAGAGAGAGAGAGAGAAGCGCGGAGTCTCCTCGATTCTGTTGTTGCGCACGTCCATTTGCAGTGTACGCGACCTCGCGAACCTTGTCTTGAGGTTCACCAGAGTTTGCGCGATTATCTCTATAATGGATTGTTAAACGCTCACTTTCTTCCTCTCTCTCTCTCTCTCTCTCTCTCTCTCTCTCTCTCTCTCTCTCTCTCTCTCTCTCTCTCTCTCTCCTTTTGTTTCTCGGAAACATCGGAACATAGAGATATCGATAGGACGAATCGTTCGTCGGACACCCCGGTGCCTCTTTCCTTCACTTTTAACTGTTTTGTGCCCTCGTCTTCCGCGAGCGGCCTGTCCGACGCGATGAATTATTCACGCGATGAATTATTCATAGAAAGAGTATTCCAAGTCTTCGTAATACACATTCCGCTTAATATGCGATACGACCAGCGGCATCTGCGGTAGCGGCAGCGGCAGCGGCAACGGCGTGCTCATTATGCGATTCGCGTTAAGTAGTCGAAACTCTCCGCGACCGGTAAACGCATAGCTCGAACGTGCGAATGCGGAAAATCGACGTCGGCCTGAGGAAGCGCAGCCGATCTTCGCCCGAATCTCTCGACCGCGATCCGTTGCCGTTTGTCCACAGATACCTTCCCCTTCTTTTTCATAAAAATATACAAAGTTTGTGGCGGCGGCGGCGAGGGATCGTTAGGCGATAATTGGATGGATATAACAAGCGAAACAAATGTTGGCTCTGCAGGGAGAGAAGGAAGGAATGCTTCTCATCTCAGTGAAATTATACGCGCCGCGCCGCGAGAACGGTCCGTTCTCATTCATTGCTCTTTGCTCTTTTAACGGCGGCGCCTTTTGGTCTTTTGAACTTTCAGCCAGGACCTATTGACGGTATGCCGGGAATTGAACCTGGAGAATTCAGTGGAGGAATTGATGAGGGAATTGGGCGCGGACGAGCACGGTCGCATTTCCTATCAGGAGTTCCTCAGACGGCGTCTTGCGCTGCGGCCGGAAATCGAGGCGCTCAGAGCCGGCAAGCGACGCGGCAGCCCGCATCACACCCACACGCCGGAATACCTGCCGACCAGCAGCGACAACAGTCTCGGTAAGCGAGTCCGCGGTTACGCGTATTTACCGCCTTTCGTTCGCACCGACGGACACCGCGCATTCTCTCTCTCTCTCTCTCTCTCTCTCTCTCTCTCTCTCTCTCTCTCTCTCTCTCTCTCTCTCTCTCTCTCTCTCTCTCTCTCTCTCTCTCTCTCTCTCCTCTCTCTCTCTCTCTCTCTCTCTCTCTCTCTCTCTCTCTCTCTCTCTCCCTCCCTCCCTCCCTCCCTCTCTCTCTCTCTCCCTCCCTCCCTCCCTCCCTCTCCCTCCCTCTCTCCCTCTCCCTCTCTCTCTCTCCCCCCTCTCTCTCTCTCTCCCTCTCCCTCTCTCTCTTTCTCGTGCGCGCGCGCACGCGGGACAGTAAACGTGTCGATGGTGTAGAGATGTGCGAATCAAGAATTTTTATGTCGAATTGAATCGAATATCACTTTTTGAATTCGAATCGAATCGAATCTATGAAATTTCACTCGATTTCGAGACGAATCGAATGAAATCGAATGGAATCATTAAAAAAGAACCTCCGCAAAAAAAGTGCCCGCTTTTCAGTCCCCGATTTTTAAATTAAATTATATGCGAAATGATAGCTCATGATAAGACATTAATCACAAAAATGTTTTATATTGGGCATACGATTGGTTTCAGAGATAGAGAGGATCAAAGTGGTCACTACCTGCTAAGAGAGTTTGACACTAATAACGTTTTACTCGCACGAATTTTTGCGAAATTCAGTGTCTACGGGTTCTTTGAGTTGTTTATTACGAATTCGATGTCATATCTAAAAAATTCAAGATGGCGGATGTAATATAGCGGACACAAATAGTGAAACAATTATTTACTTTTATTAGAACTGTTATGTTGTGGTATACTTTAAAACCGATAACTTTAGAACTGAATTTTTAGATAACTTTTATATTATTGGATATAATGGTACGTATGTTATAAAGAGTCATGGAAACTGCAATGAAAAAGTTTCTAAATATAACCAATAAAACCATCACGTTATCCTTTATGCGTCATGTAACGTATCAATTTGAATTTGATACTTTTTTTATGAGAAGATAATAAAAAAATACTTTTTCTACTCAAAAATTGTCGTTGAAAAAATTACTTTCGAAAACCTAAAAGAAAATTCGCAATCAGCTAGCGAAAAAAGCCACAACATAACAGTTCCAATAAAAGTAAATGATTATTTCACTATGTGTGTCCGTTATGTTGCACCTGCCATTTTGAATTTTTAAAATCTGACATCAGATTCGTAATCAGCAACTCAAAGAACCCGTAGATACCGATTTTGCAAAAATTCGTGCGATAAAGCGTTATTAGTGTCATACTTTCTCAGTAGATAGTGATCACTTTGACCCTCTATATCTTTGAAACCAATCGTATGCTCAACGTAAAACTTTTCTGTAATTAATGTCTCGGTTTTCTGTAACGGTGGTCCGTTTTGTAGCTGATGCGCGCAAACACTAATGTACTTAATTCGTATTCGAATCTTCGCGATTCGAAATTTTCGAATTAATCGGATTCAAATGATAGGGATTACGAATTACATTAGATTCGATTCGAATTCGAATTCGAGTAATTCGCACATCTCTACAATGATGTTGCGGCGGAATGTGAGAGAAGAAGAACGCGATATTTTATTCTCATAGGGTAAGTCCAAGATAGATGGGCATAAGGGATAGATGATGAAGTATAACTATAATTTTGTTAATGTATGCTAGGCGTTAGCGCTGATCGGTCAGTTGTGATGTACCACGGATGTACAACGAGCAAGTGTGTTTCATCCTGATGCACAAAAATACACACTGTTATTACGAGTAAATAAATATTTTATGTTTCGAGTAACCTCCAAAAGGTTTCACACGTCGGAAAAATACCTTGCGAATACGGTTTATTTTGAGTTACATTAGACTTGGGCTTAAACGACTAAAAAAACATCGTATCTTCCTTATTTAATCTCGAAATTCGTCACCGAACTACTATGTTTTACGCGGTATACGCATTTTTACGCGAATTCTCCAAACATGAGATAGATGATCCATTTTTTTCAAGGTTAGATAGATGGGTAGGCTACTTAGCGAGAAATAGCAAGCAATAAGTATCCATAGACATAGGAATATAGGGACAGAGCATAAATCCGTAAGATAGGCGAGGGGAGTTGTGCTGCGGGGGGCGACTGTGCTTAAGTTCCATTGGCTACAATAGTGCGCATATGCAGAGTGTATGATGCAACGACTTGACTGCCACTGGCAAATAGTAAATGTAACAAAATGATAAGAACTATTTACACTGACAGTATTTTGCAGAGGTTATGCATGTGTCTTCTTTTTTCATAATTTCACTCACACACAACTTCATACACATCTATGTATATATCAAATACTTACACACGGCACAACCACCAATTAGATTTAGGCACAGTTTACCTCGTCGCACCGTCCCGCAATGGTTATCCCCCCGCAACTCTATGTTCTGTCCCTATATTCCTATGTCTATGTAGATATCGGATTGACATTTTCTAGATATATATATATATATATATGTATCTATTCGACTATCATTTTTCCCTGATATCTAACATTAAATGTCAAACTTGTCAACACTGATCGGTCAATCGGAGTTGTATGAGATGTACCACGAATAGATGTGTTTCTTTCTGATACACCAAAACGCTGTTATTATGAGTAAATAAATATTTTATGTTTCTATTAACCTTCAAAATGTTTTACTTGTCGGAATAATACCTTGCGAACACAATTTACTTTGAGTTACAACATTAGATCTGGACTTAAATGATTAAAAAACATCGTATTTGACCTAAAAATTCACTACCGAGGTGATGTATGCCCAACTATCTCTTGACATATGACCATCTAACCTGGAGGACACCTGTGACCATCTATCCCTCGCAGAATATTTTTAATTTAATTTTAATATTTCGTTATTATTGGCATCCCATGAATTTTTTTTTCACAAAAATTCTTCTGTATCTTAAACATTGTCCTACTGAATGTGTTAATACGTTGTTGACCATTTATTGTATTAATACAGATGTGTTATTTGCGAATAAGAAAACTATGTCGATCTGTCCCGGACTTACCCGCTCGCGTCTCGATAAATGCAATATAAAATGCAAGTCGACGATGCCGTTGTATTTTCGTCGTAATTTCACGTCTTACGGTCAATGGAGATTTATTGTTGCGTATCAAGAAAGAGATACGGCTTGAAGAGCCGTCGCTCGATATCAGTCGCGTTCATTTGATTCGACAGCGCGGGATGGCGATTTAATTTGAAACGAAATTTTGATTGAAACGAATATCCTACACAGCGCCTCCAAATAGCAGAAAATGCACAATCAATACAGTCGTATAAAATAAAAATGGGTGGATATAGACTTTTCGGAGTGTGAAATGAGATGGTCAGATGAAATATTGAGGTCGGAAGTAGAATAAAAATTTCCACTCATTCGGGCACACACATTTTTTTCCGGTTAGTCGAACGCGGTATACGCGATTTCTATTTCAGGAACGGTGTCGGGACGGCACGAAAGCTGGGAATTCGACAGCGGCGCGCGTGATTTGTCGCCGGAACCTCACAGCCTGCAGAAATTGGTGGAGGCGGCCGCCGGCGGTACGGGAAATATGCTGGACCTCGCGAATAAGGTGAGTCTATTTGCGAGTTATTTCTCCGCGACGGCACGGCACCGCATCGAACATTCGTATCCCCGGAATCGCTCGGGGATGCAAATGTGGCGTTTCTTTGTCTCCGTCCTCCCCTCGCGTCGTCAGATGATGATGGTTGCATGCTTCGTACAAGATGCGCGAGTTTTGGCCTCGCGTGATCGCGCGCGAACGTCAAACATCGTTCGGCGAAACGTCGATCTGTCGGCTTACCGTTATGAACTCCGCGATGATGGTACCCATCGTGCCTATCGTATTTGCGTATCCGTTCGTGCGGAGAGGCCCGTGGGAGACGCGAGGTTGTCGTCTGAACCCCGCAGACGATAACTACGCAAGTCTCGTTTGCGCGATGCGAGGAATGAATCGCTGGAAAACGGCGCGATGCATTCGACGAGAGAATCTGGAGGAAGAGAGTCCCGTCGAGAGTGTGGTGTGTCGTAGTGGTGAGTAAATTTGAATAATCACGATGCTGAGATGAGACCTGGAGAGAGGAAAAAGGAAGTTTCTTTTCGTCCGGAAAATGCACAAAAATATCCGGCGTCTTCGAGTGGCGACCTTCTCTCTTCCTTGGCCTGCAATGGATGACTCCTTTTCTTAAATGGCGAGAGAAAGAAAGAGGAAAAGGGAGAGAAAGGCAGAGAGAACGAGAGAGAGAGAGAGAGAGAGAGAGAGAGAGAGAGAGAGAGAGAGAGAGAGAGAGAGAGAGAGAGAGAGAGAGAGAGAGAGAGAGAGAGAGAGAGAGAGAGAGAGAGATATTGCCATACCACTCCGCAGACGCGCTTCGTTCTGGCGTTACCGTGCTGTGCAAATTTCCATAGAAATGGAATAGACAAGTCGGCGAGATGCCGCTTGCGCGTCGAGTAAACGCAACAGCGACGCGTTAATTCCCTTCGTTAACCCTGCGAAAATTGCCAGGCTGGGTTTACCCGCGAGGAGACGAGCAGGGCATAGGGGGAAAGGGGTGTAACGTGCAATCGACGCTGCACTAGCGACTAAGCACTAGCGTACAAAATTAATAATCCGCATGGTACGTCCGTTCGTCCGTCGTACGTGTGTTTGTACGGAAAGAAGAGACGGCGAGGTGGTTCCATGGAAGGACAGATTATTATCAGAGCGTGTAAAGAAGGATGCGGCAGGCCGTAAAAATGAAGGCCGCGTACATGTATGTGTGTTACGCGACGAAGAGTAATAAACGCGGCCGATACGCAATAAGATTCCGTAATTTTTGCCCGAACAAATGACCTCGGCGCGATCAGCGCGCGATAACTCCGCCGGTCTCGTTCCCTCTTTCTATCTTTTTCTCCTGCTCTCCAGAGCGCGGGGAATATCCTCCCAAGGACGATGTTTTTCTAGGGCGCCGATCGTTATTTTCCATCGCGCGCGACGCCCACATCCTTTTTCCCGGGGATATTTACTTCCGTCCTCGTCCTCTTCTCCCCAAGAATTTCATACCTCGTCGTCGTCGTCGTCGTCGTCGTCGTCGTGTAGTTTTCGCGCGAGTCTCGCTATGAATTTCTCGTAATACGCTCGTGATACGCAATAAAGGCGCGCCGTGGTACGGTAAGATGGCTGTTAAATTGCGCCAACAGGTGCGAGAGTAAGAACCCGAGTATTCCCTTCTTCCCGTCTCCACTCGCCACTCGTTGAGAGAAAAATCTCGGAGTGCCGGAGCGCAGTGTTGAAAATTAATCGGCCTGCGGTGCAAATAATAAATAAGCAAATAAAAAGATGGATACACGGTGCGAACATGTTTCCGTGTGTTAAGTTACATCGCGGAAGCGTAGAGCAAATTTGTCCTCCTCCGTGTACGGCGAGACTGCGCAGCGCATCCGCAGCGACCGGAAAATCGACGCTGCGTGGTATACGTGGTACCTAAATTTGACAGTTCTCTCTCTCTCTCTCTCTCTCTCTCTCTCCCTCTCTCTCTCTCGCGATGCTTAGTGACTGCGACGCAATCCAATTCCGTTTCACGGCATAATCGGAAACGGTACTTCACATCGACACCGGCATCTCCACGAGATTGTAAAGATGCACGCGCGGGGGAGGACGACTGCCGACGTGTTCCTTAATTACGCCGAAGCGCCTCGTTTTCCATTAAGCGCCGCGCTACTACGCTCGCGGACGTTGCGCTCCGCTTGGTGGGTCGGCGTGCAATCATCGCGTAATTCGCGTGTGTTAACAGCCGAATGTGGATCGCGTAGAGTCGGGTCGAAGCTAAGCGCCGGGACGGCGCCGACTTCCTCTTTCGACCCGCGGAAACGAAGCGCGACCTGAATTCGCGCGGATAGAACAAGACGACGCTGTCCGCCCTCCCCCCCCCCTCGCAACCGGGGACTTCTTACGAAAAAAAATTACCGCCGTCGCTTCCGTCGTCCCCGATCCTCTTCTAATCTTTCTCTCTCTGTCTCTTTTTCTGTTTTTTTACCTTCCTCCCGCGGGAGAGGAGAAACGCGCGCCACCGTTATTGCTGCGCCGGGCAACGCGTTAATCGAGAAATTAGCAAAGTTAATTAAGACCGCCGCGCCCACGAGCTGTCCTGTCCACATAATTACACTAATACAGTCGTGACGGTTTCGCTCGCACCTTTCATCTCGCTTTTCTTCTTTTCTACCCCGCTTTTTTCTTCCCCCCCCCCTCTCTCTCTCTCTCTCTCTCTCTCTCACACATCTTGGTGCGGTCTATGCGCGATCGTCGTGCAAGTTTATCCGTTCATTTCGATCGCCAGCAGCAAGATTGACGATCCGTCGCTGAGTTGCGCGATAATTTTCCGTGCGGGCGAACAGATCGGCGCGCACGACTCGCAATGTATGGAGTCGTCCTTCTCCGCCACGTATGCGCGTTACTTAACGAGTCACGCGAAAGAGCGCTCGGCAGGAGCACTTCGCGGCGATCCCAATAATTTCGCCTAAGTGTCGCTATTCGGCTAACCGCTATAATAATCTCACGCGCGCGTTGCCGCCATAATAGTCACGTTCTCTCCTGCCCTGTGATTATATGTCAGTTGTATAAGCGGGTTCTTGTCGCTTCACCTTAAAGGGCATCCGTTCTCAGGATCTGTCCGGCGGATGGATTCGTTTTATCCTTCCCGGCCGTGCTGCGTTCCCGATCCTGCCGGACAAACAATGCCCGGCTGCATGCGGCGGTTATCCGCTATCGACTCATCGCAGCGCAGCAGTGGCTGGTGCGCAATCGATACGCACGCTACGGATTCGCCGTCGCGCACGAACGTCTCGCACTCTCGTGACGTTTACCGTATTTAATGGTATTACACCGGCGGGCGCACTCATGCGCACGGAGGAAAGAAAGGATTGCTCGACTTAACATGACGATGACTGAACCGGACACGTTTCTATCGAAGGAAATTGAATCTCTAGTTCTTACAAGTAAACTTGTACCCAAGTGTCCCATTCCGATTTTGCATGTGTATAGAGCATCGAAAAATATTAGATAGCTATTTTTTTTTATATCGGCCCCATAAAGCGTTTTAACGGTAGAAATTATCATTACAATGTCAATTTTTTCGCTCTCTTGTCCTGTACCTGTACATAAACACTCAATGTCAAGAAGTGTTTGAGAAAATAATATTTCCAGAGGAACACATCAGCTGTTTTCATGTTACCAAATTCGAATTCACCGGGAAATTGGAGACTTTCAACATGGCGGATTCAATATGGCGGATCGATATTTGGAGAATATGATATTTTTCGAAAGTTCCTGTACATTTATTAATTTCTCGTGAGTCATGTATCTTAGAAAACTACATTTAATAATATATACTTCACATATATACTCATTAGCCGAATAGGTCCACATATCTTCATTATTTGGGCAAAGCATCCGTCTCATGTATTTATTACCATCAGCCTAGAGAAGCCACATACAAAATCATACACCAATTCCAAAAATTGACGGAGAAATGTTTTCAAATTTTCACCCGCCATGATGAATCCGACATTTTGAGTTTCAAAATCTGATTCTAGACGTGTGCTTCTTGCTCTGAAGACCTTGAGATATGTAAATCGCAGAAAATTAATAAATGTATGCCAATTACGACAAAATCATGATATTCTTCAGATATCGATCCGCCATATTGAATCCACCATTTCGAAAGTCTCAAATTTCTTGATGAATTCGGATTTGGTAACAAAAACAACCAATGTGTTCCTCTGGAAACATTATTTTCTCAAATATTTCGTGATATTGCGCATTTATATATAGAACAAGAAAGCGAAAAAATTGACATCTTACAGGTAGTTTCTACCCTAAAAACGCTTTATGGCCAATATAAAAAAAATACGCATCTAATATTTTTCGATGCTCTATACGCATGCAAAATTTCATCAAAATCGGAGTGGGACACTTGGGTAGGTTGTACTTGTTAGAAACGAGTTTCGTCCGATGAGGAGCAGAAATTTCGTTATTTCAAAATCCCGAATTAGATCGAAGGACAAACAATTCTGCCGCGTTCCCGGCCGGAACGCATTCAGTTCGTTCATCGTCACCTCAGGTTCGATCTTTTTTTCCTCCAGGTCGCCCCGTGTGCCGTCCAATGGCTGTTTGCCTGATTGAATCGTTATTTGACACTTGATCTATCAATCGACTCGTCAGTTGATTTACCCGCCCATTCTTTCGTCGCTTGGTTATTCGTTGAACGATCGAAGATCAAAAGCGGAAGGAAGCCTCCAGGCGATTTTACTCCGGGATGAAAATCGCGCTTCCCCCCGCCGCCCGTTAACCAGCGATTTCTTTCCTCGTGGCACTGAACGCGTTAACGCGGGCGGGTTAGTGGGCTCTATTACCGCCGACTCTTCCGGGCTCCGCTCCGAGAAACTTGCGGCCATGCATTACCATGCCACCCACAACGAGCGCTGCGCTCGTAGTATCATGCACCGCGAGAGCTAGCGAGCTGGCCAGCAGCTCGCTCGCTGGCCAACGAGCGGGTGAGCAAGCAAGAGATAGATAACTGCAGCTGGAGAGAGCTT